GATTTGTTTTACTTGCTTACACATCAACAAAATATTTATTTGAACAGAGTATTTCAGGGCTAAAAGAAAAGTGAGCAAACCGCTGGACTAGCGGATAAGAACCAGAGGAGGTGGGGCAGAAATTGGTAATTAGAAGCCATAGGGTGTAGTGCTATGGGGCCATAGCAGGGAACAAGGAGTCCGGAATCATGAACAAATTCAACCTTCTTAGAAAAACTGGGGGCTCATAAAAATGGAGATGTTTGAGGGATGAAGTTGGAGGACTTGGAACATGATCAGGATGGTTGGAAGCTGGAAAGACATGACCTAGGGTCTGTGTGTCTGAATAAGAGAAAATGCAGACTAGGAAAGAAGAAAGGAACAAAGCTGAGATTTCCAGTCCTTTCGATGAGCAGGTACAAGCTGGAATTGACTGAAACCTAGTGAAGATTTTGTTTACCCACTCACCCAAAATACAAGCAGAAAGAAACCGTGCCAGACTTGGGCTGGGAATAGAAGTCTGATGACATAGGAAGTGAAGGAAACTTACTTAATATACTTAAAATTTAACTTCATTTTTAATTTATTTTTTAATTTTTAAAGTTTATTTATCCATTTTGAGAGAGAGAGAGAGCACATGAGCAAGGTAGGGCCAGAGAAAGAGAAGAAGAAAGAATCCCAAGCAGACTCTGCACCATCAGTGCAGAGGCCGATGCGGGGCTCAAATCCATGAACCATGAGATCATGACATGAGTGGAAACTAATAAGAGTTGGACACTTAATTGACTGAGCCACCCAGGCTCCCCAAACTTCATTTCATTTTTTTAAATCAGAATTTATTTATTGAGCTTCTACTATGTGACAGATATTTTTCTAGGCAACAGATATACCAACAAATAAGGCAGACAAGGTCCTGTTCACCTAGAGCTCATGTTCTAATGTAAGGAGATAGAAAACAAAGACATAAGTAAATAATATAAGAAAATAAAATAAATGTAGACAAGAGTGTTATAAAGGAAACAAAACAAGGTGATACAAGGTGAGTGACTAGGGATAGGGGTCGGTGGAGAATTTAGATGTAATTGGGTTTGGTTTTTAAAAAGATCACTCTGGCCGATGCTTGGCTGACTTGATAAAACAGATCGTGCAAGGGAAACTGCTGACCTCATTTTGTCCTTTCTGGGCAGCAGGTGACTAACAGTCAGGAGGTTGTACCCAGTCCGGGTGTCTGTATTTAACAAAAGACAAAGGAGCTTTTAAACTTGAGACTTAGTGAATATGACAAGACTTGTCTTGGCATGTGTGGCATTGAGGAGAGAACTCTTTGAGATGGATCGAACGTGGTTTATAAAAAGAACTACATGCAGCTTCTCAAACATGTGCAGTAACCTTAGAAGTTACATAATAAGTGCTCACATCAGTCTCTAAGTTCTCCCCATTAAGAACCTGATGAAAGCCCCGAAAGAGCCTCCATGCTGGTCCACAGTGGATCCTCTTGAGTCTGATGTTTCTCCTGCTCCGATTGGCTGCTCTTTCTCAATTTTGTCTGCAGTCCCTGCAGGGGAACAGGTCTCCAGTGCAACAGGTGTGTGCTCCCTGACAAGGATGTTTAAGCTGGAAAAAAAATAACAAGACTTTTGATAGGAAACCTATCTTTTCCACTTGGTGTCCTCTGTATGTTCCTTCAGGAAACTTTCTGTGTAACATTATTAAAAATCCCTGGGCATCAGTGGCTAGGAATAGCTGTTCTGTGACTTCTCAGTCACCTCATGCTCCACGTGCCTCCCCTAGAAAGGGAAACGCAGAAAATTGGTAAGAGCTGGGTATCCTGGGACAGAATCTTTGGAAGTGAAACCCTGATCCTTAGGTGGTCGTTGCACTGAGGTACCCAAATATCAACCAGTCTGACTAGAAAGCTATCTCTTCCTCCCTGGGTCTTGCTGTTGTTCATAAACAAAGATGCTAAATTTTGAAGGACAATAGTAATATGTCATTGCTCTTTTTCTCTTTGGCAATCAACAAATACCAGCTTTGTCGAAGCAAGAGAAGCCCAATTTCTATACAGAGCTAATTTATAAGTACCATTTCTTGGTCCTGCAAAATGAAGATAGTTCTAATTAAAGTGACAATTCATGGTCTTGGATGTTAGTAAATATCCTCCCACTGACAGTATGTAATTTAAGATTTCACAAAGCTGTAATTATGAATTTTACCATAAAACCATGTAAAACCAGTGATCATCTCTGAACTTGCTATTATAGGAGTTGGGATTTACGAAGTTTGTTTGTTTTTTTTAAAAGAAAGGCTACGTAGATACTTAGGTGGATTCTTTTTCACATAAAGAATTCACTGTGTGGAGACTTTGACAAGGCTACCTTATGACTATTGGCTCTGACCCTTGTCCTGGTAACTAATTGCTCTCTGAGTGACCAAAAAGAAAACTTGAATTTCAATTTGAAAAATATCCTGGCCAATGTACTATTTAAATGTTAAAATATATGTTGATTACTTTCTCCCCAAATCATGACAATTACTATCATTTGGCATATTATGTGTCTACAAGTATATCAGGGAAGAAAATTAAAACCTTAGGGTAGAATCATATCTTGTAAAAAGGATTTAACAGCAGGAGTAAGCCTGGGTTCTGACAGCTACTAGATAAATTTGGAAGCCAGGAAAGATAATCAAGATACTAAGACACACATTTTAATCAGTCACATTGGAGTAGTTGCCAGGTAATGGAGCTCATTAAAGGAAGTGGTATATTCCATGTAGCTGTATGAAATAGTCAAGCATCCCAGAAATTGGTGATATCCTATGCTTCCAGTGTTCTGGGAAACCTTAACAGCTCAGCAGACTGGAAGCACCATCCAGAGTTCATGTGCTTGCCTTATGCCAAGTTCTAGGGTCTTTAAATGAACCTATAAAGACAAAGATATTGGAGGAGAACCAGTTTGCTGCATCAGTCAAGTGCAGGAGAGCGTTCTTGTTACTGCTTTCTTACCTCATTAACAAAAAAGCATCCCACAGAATAAAGAAATCTCAGCAGACTGATACTGTAAAATTCAAATTACCATTTCCTTCATAGGCAGTAGTAATTCCCTGCTCAATGCAGATGAATTTATATGATTAGAAATACAGTTAATTCAAAACACTGCATGCTTATACTTTGGAATCGTTGGTCCCGTGAGACATGAACTCAGACATATTTGTTTACTTCAAAGGGAAACAAGAATTCTGATTACTTTTTAATAGGAAAAGAATGGACTTGGTGAGAATATACATAAAAACATCCTTTTATCCCTGTTACCTTAGTGATTATGGTTTTAATACAGGTTTAATACAGGTTTTTCACAGTTGAAAAAATAGTTTGTTCTATTGAGTGGCAGTTCCATGGAGAGAGGCCCTAGCTGGAGAGCCCCAGCATCATGGGATATCCATGAAAAGACAAACCTGGGGAACTGTTTACTTAGCTTTTAGTGAAGGTCATGGAATGCCGTAGCTAAACCTTACTTTACGCGGTCCTCTTGATTTTCAAATTGATAATACCTGTTCATCTTGCTTGATAAAATATTTTTTATTTGCCTATAGGTTTTATGTTTAATCCTCTTACTGAGTCACTATAAAGTCAGATGCGCTTTTCCTACTCACAGTGAATATAAGTGTGCCCCTTTCACTGATAATCAGTAAGTAGGGATATAAAACCCTCTTGAAGCTACAAAGCATTAAGCACTGTATAACCCTCCTTCGTATTTACCCTGTGAGTGACTATGTGAAGCACAGAAGTGCCCGTTACCCTCAAACTTGTGTGGCATGACTTCCCTAATCATGGTTGTCTGTTTGTCGTTAAGCTGGTGCTGGGAACTTGAATTTTGAATACATTTTAAGGGGGTGGGATTATAATTTATTTTAATTGCTGATAGATAATAATGGCTGAATAGCAATGGGTTGAAATTTACATAAGTGGTATTCAATTTCCTGGTGTTGCTGCCACTCTGAATTTGAATAAGGCATTTATATATTCTGTAGAAGGTTGATAATATAACTAGTTTATGGCTTACCTTCTCAAAGTTAAAGTGCATGTGAGGATAAAATGGAAGGAATTTAAGTCTTTAGAAAAGAGCAGATATCCAAACCTAGAAATTTTACATTGTGAGCCAGCTGTGGAATTAACTAAAACCCCTAGGTTTGTGGAGCTTATGAGCACAGTCTCATCTGCAAACAACAACAAAAATAAACAAAAAACAACTGCTTGGCCAGAAGAGAAGATCTAAAGATGTTCTGATCATGTTATATGTTTGTGGCCACCACTTCATGAACATTTACACCGCTCGGCCACACTACCACACTCACCTCTTCATGAACATTTAAAAAAGGCATACATAAGCAGAGAAAACCTGAGAAATGGAATTCAGTAAAAGAATTTATTATTATTCAAGAAAAAAATACTAGGTTATTGCTGATCAAATGTTTTTGCAACTGTGTTCTTAGTAAGGCAATTTAAGATAACTTGACTAACAAATATAAAATTATAGAATTCCCAAATCAAATGGTGATAAATTACTTAGTACTTTCAAAGTGATACTTTTTTGTTCTGCTCTAATTCAAACACTTTATGACTTTCTAAGAACGTGTGCAGGTCATTTCTTTTTGTTGTTGTTGTTAAAAAAATTTTTAATGTTTATTTTTAAGAGACAGAGAGAGAGTGCAAGTAGGGAAGGGGCAGAGCAAGAAGGAGACAGAATCCAAAGCAGGCTCCAGGCTCTGAGCTGTCAGCATAGATCCCATGTAGGGGCTCAAACTTGTGAACCTTAAGATCATGACCTGAGTCAAAGTTGGACACTTAACTGACTGAGCCACCCAGGCATCCCTGTGTAGGTTATTTCTTTTAGAATTTAGGAAACGATATGTATTTTACTGCGCTTTATGTGTTTCCAAAAATTAATCAATAAAATTTAAGTTAAATCACCGTGCTAAATATTTAGAATGTTCTCCAACAGTTCATTATTTATTTCTTGCAGGCTTGTAGAGCATATTTGGATTTTATGATTTCTGTAGCCACATTGATTCGTAAGGAGAAAGGACTGCTCATCAATGAAAACCAACTTTCTTTGGAAATGAAGAAAGTTATGCAATTGGAAAAAGAAATTGCCAATGTAAAACACTTTTTCTTTAATACACTGAATAACTTCACCACCCTTTTCTTCTTTCTCCTCTCTATCATATTTTAAAGGTAAAAGGCACAACTTTTTAAGCAACTGGTAAGAATGCATAGCTCAGTAATGAAATCATTGACTTTATGAAGACCTTTGAGACTGTAGAATTTTGTAGTAAACTGGGTTCCTGCTGGCCAGGAGACATACTGCATTTGGCAAATATTAAACTAGATACACTTAAATGGATTATACCAAAAGCCTATTTGCAGTCATTTGTTGAAATGGCCTTGTGACTCAGGGCACACTTCATTGCTGTGTACAGTTTTCCTTTGTTTTATTTTAAAGTTTAAGGTGATCATAGTGATTGCCTTTCCCTTTTCTTGGAAGTATTTGTCCCTGAATATGGCCACCTGACAGTGTGATGTTACTGAGTTCAGACCATCTGGTTAGCTCAAAAGATCTGACAAACAGGGTTCAGCAGCAAAGCCCATGGGGTGTTTTCCTGAGTTTCCTCTAGCTTCAGATGAACCTTTGGAGTCTGAATTGGCACTTTCTTGTCTGACTTTCCTCTGACAAGAGTCTGCAGTCTCCAGGAGTGAGCTCTGTCAAAGTAGTATCAAGGTTATTGATTAAACGTATGGTCAGTTTCAGTCTAGAATCTACAGACCTCTCTGACATTGCAAACAACAACCTGTGCTCCTAAATCCCCATGTGCTTGACACTGCCATCAGAATCCTGAAGACTAAAGATCTTTGAGGGCAATTTTAGCTTTCCTTAAGCTATATGCAACCAAAAATCTCCAATCAGAACCAGACTTTGCCTGGAGCTGCAGCTAGATGAATGGCAGTTTGATGGGTTACATGTGGTTCCGTGCTGGACACAGAACAGTTAGAGGAGAATAGTTTATTGCCTTGGGTTTTCAGTACTTGGCCCTTCCCAGACCACATCCTCCTTTGATCAGCCTTAGCTCTCTGATAGTTGTATCTTACCTCAAAATTATTCGTGTCTTTGTTTTTCCTCCTCTCTTAAACTCAGGTTGGGGTGAAGTCTTAGTCTCCTTTGAATCACGTGTGTATCTCTAACAAAATCCAGCTTATTATTGCATTCAGGACATGTTTAATAAATAATTTTTTAAGGAGTGAATAAATAAGTACCTAAAGGGGAAATTGAAGTCATCGTCACTGAGAAATAATTCCCATGTTAAACTTCTACCTTTTGTCTCTCCTCACTTAAAACTAATTTTTCTTATTTCAGCCACTAGTTGAGGAGTTGTTACTGCAGTTTTTTCTTTTGATTCAGTGAAAAATAAATAAACAAGTAAATAAAACTGGATGCTGTTGAGTATAGAGTACTAAACTAATTAGGAGGGATAAGAGTCACAAATATAGATGGTGCTGGCTCTCTCCCCAGATGACTGTGCTGTGTACTAGGAATTTTCTCTCTTAATTGTTTTAAATTCTTGCAGAAGTCATTATGGTTTGGGGTTTGTTTTTGTCTTTCCTGTCTGGATTTTACCTGTGACACTGGATGGTGGCAATGAGGAGGTAGGAGAGAGTATTTGAGAGATGCATTGGACAAGATTGTATTTGAGAAAGTTCTATAAAACAACCACAGCGACAATTGTGCTGGCCATCACCTTTAGAAAGAAAAAGGCCTGCAGACACTATCTATGTGGTTCAGCAGTTGTCAAAGTATAAAAAGATATTTGAAAAATTTTATATTCGACACAGCAGCCAAATAGTGACGATTATTACTAAATATACTTAAAAATCTCTTAAGTTTCACTTTTTTTGATATCAATCTATTTTAATCATAAAACAAGTATACAAAATAGAGCTTGAATTATGTTGTACCTATCCCATATTTCTTTTTCCCTCATACAGAGTGATATTTTCCTAAGTATGCTTAGTTCTAAAACAATGATCAAAAATTAAATCCATAGGCTACAACTAAATCTGAAGATCGAAATGATCCAATGCTTCTTTATAATAAAATGACATTAGCCCAGCTCCAAAATAACTTTTCACTAGAGATCGATCAGAAGGTAAGTACTAAGTTTTATGGCCTCTGTTACTGTGCCATTTCTAAAATTATAACATTGTAATATAGTTGGTTAAAGTTTGGTGTTTATTTATTTTTTTGAAATAAATTGAATTTCGAAATGAATTTAGAGGACACCAACCATTTGACTTCATGACAAGACTGGAAAAAAATTATATGAAATCATTGTATAATATCTAGAGTGAATTTCAAAGGTAAAATTCCTTTCAAGGCAGATATGCAATGATATTAGAAACTGTTGTAGCAAAGGGTTTGTAAAACATTAAACCAGAAAATCCTTTTGAAAGACAACTATATAGCCATTGGACTTGTTCAGCCAAATAATAAAGTCACTGAATTTCTTTTTAACCCTATAAAGGGTAACTTATTTATTGAACTTGCCATATTCTCATCAAGGCCATCTGTCGAGATTTTCCAAGTAATAGTGGAGAAATAAAACACAAGAAATAAGAAAAATCTGTCTCATAGATTCCATTTACAAACAGATGTAATTCATTAGCTAGTACATAATAATCTCTTTTGGGGACTATGCATGTATCCTTGTGTGTAAGTTCATACACATGATTGGGAAAAGAAGCAAGATCCATGGGAAAATCTATAAACCATCATGTTTAGTGATAGAATTCTCTTTGGCGCTAATTACAATAAAAAAAGGGAGGGGGCATACTTTGTAAAGGCATGACCTATTATTAGGAATTTCTCACTTAAATCTGTTTAGTATAATAAGTGTTAAGGGTTTAATAAATATGTTTTGAAAGAATGGTCCGAACCACCAAAGAAAATCAAGAAAAGTATATAGCACTTCATACTTAATAAGTGATCTGTATATTTATGTACTTCCAAGTGTATAAACTTCACAAACACTGAAATGTGGTATTTCAGCAATATTTGCATAATCTCCACATCTGTGTTTTTTTCTTCTATTTATTGGTGGTTGAATAACCACAATTCCCATTTAGAGAATATTGGATCAGATTTCATCTCTTAGTAGCTCCAAAGTGTAAACATTGTATGCCTATAGACCCAGTATTGATAGTTTCAGATGTGTTGTTTGGCTTCTTTGGACCATTTGTGTTGTATATATGACATTTCTGTACTTCTGCTATGACAATAATATGCTTTCATTTATAGCAGAATCTCCACTGAGATGTATCACTGTGTTTGAATGGATTGTTCAATATCCACTTTTAAAAGATAAACACTTTATATCCATTTAAATTTTTGTGTAAACATAGGAAGCTTCATTTTTTTAAAGCTAAATTTCTTTTTCTTTTTTTTTGTTTGTTTAATATAAGTTTGACCAAGAAGATGACATCGAACTTAATTTCTGTCTGTATATTCTCTATGCTTAGGGGATTTGCTTTTGCTCTTCAATGGTTGGTTGAATGTTGCTATCTAAATAATCATGCTACAGAACTAATTTCTATTCAGGAACTGATTGAAACAATGGAGGAAAAATCCCACACAAATATCAAACCGGCCATTGTGGTAATTCCATAGTGATGCAAATGATAATCTAACCATGTCTGACTCTATAACTGTAATTGAGTCTTAGAACCTAAAAGAGAAATACAAAATGACTGAATGTTTTATGCCTGCTTTTTTTCCAGCCATTCAGCTGGTCAAATTTCACAAATGAAATCATGTCAACTGTGAATATTAATATTCCCAATGAGGAAGATGTGGTTGTTTATGCTCCAGAATATTTAACCAAACTTAAGCTCATTCTTCCCAAATATTCTGCCAGGTAGGTATATCAGAGTGCCTATGTCCTCAAAATTTACATTTAATATCACTCTTTAGAAGCTTTGCAGCCTCATCTTTTCTGTTGCTGGGTGGTGGGTTTTTTTATACAGAGATCTTCAAAATTTAATGTCCTGGCGATTCATAATGGATCTTGTAAGCAGCCTCAGCCGAACCTACAAGGAGTCCAGAAATGCTTTCCGCAAGGTGAAGAAAAAATCTCTCTTTTCTTAAGACTTAAAGCATAAAGAGATACATGGTTATGAAGGCTTGCCATGTACACTGCTAGAATGTGGTAAACTTTGTGAGGAGTCAAAATGCCAAATGTTGGTTATTTCGCCCATATTTTGGTGGTGTTGCTTAGGAAAGCCAGCTTTCGTGGGCTTTGCCATCTAATGATTGTCTACTCTGGCACTTTGATTGAATTGTCCTGGAAGGAGATGCATTTGGTTCTTTGAGCAGTTCGTGAGAGAATACTGGCTTGGTTTTTTTGTTGTGTTGAACATAATTGCAAGGGTGACTATCTCAATTAACTTCATTTTCAGGTGCCCGTAGCACACTAGACATACAGACAGGTGAACTACACTGATGTGGACAATCCACTGAGAGTACACCTACCTGTCCACTTAAGGACAACCTTAAGGCCTTTTACTAGGCTGAACCTGCATTTTTTAAACAATCATCCTATTAGTGCCGTGGTGAGGGGGAGAGGGCAGGAGGGATTGAGGAAGGAGAAACTCTGGCAAATATATTGATTGGTATTATGGAAAGGAAATAACTGTTTATTTGACATTTCTAGCATTTACCCTTTGAAAGAAAATGTAAACAAATTTTTTCAATTAAAGCCTGTAAAAATGGTGTTTTGCTCAATTTCCCTTACCTCAGTGAATCCCCTCGTTAGTACTTAAATTTATCTACATACAGTTCTTCTAAGTACTGGAAGTTCAGCAAAAATATTAAAAAAACGGAATGTGTTCTCTTGTATACCAGATGTCTCCCTTGTTACATAAATTGAACATTACTTCATGTTTATGCCTATGCAGTCATAACTGGATTTTTTTTTTGTTTGTTTTTTGTGTGGTTTTTTTGGGTTTTGTTTGTTTTGGTGGGAGAGGGGCCATTTTGTTGTTGTTTTCTAAAGCTGTCTAGAAGGGTATTCACCTGTAACAGCAAAGGTTCCAATGGGACATGCTACTGAAAATATACCTTTTTTTCAGATTATTTGTAAGTAAACAGTCCAGTTGGATTACATTTTTTCTTGGGCAAGGACAACATGCTTTGTGAGGAGAAGCAGTGAATGTTTGCACGAATTTAGGGGACATGAAGAACAGAGTCCCTGTGAAATATGTGTTCTGCCTTGCTCTGGCCATCTTCTCCTGGTCAGATGCCATTTCTTTTCTCTCGCCCTTAGGCCCTTTATGGCACAACATCAGAAACAGCAACGTGGAGACGTTGTGCAAACTATGTCAATGGGAATATGGAAAATGCTGTGGGAAGGCTGTACGTGGAAGCCGCATTTGCTGGAGAGAGTAAACATGTGGTAATGTTTTCAGCACAATACTCTTATATCAGTTCATTGTTTCCATCAGTGGGCAATTATAATAGCTCATAATTGGGCTGAAGTTTATTAAGTGGCAGAGCATCTCTGTATCACAATTTGTGGTTTCTCAGCGAATCTCCTCCACCCTCCCCCAAAAGGTCTACTTATGTTCCTGATTTTAATGTTGTCCAGTCCAAAATCAATTATTCCCCTTCCCAAAGCAATGTATTCAGAGTACTTAGTCACATGTTCTGCTGATACAGTTAATTGTAAATTCTCCTATTAGCAAGATTGGCCAAGAATTAGTGTTTTCTGAAAAACTTTGAAAGTAAGATTTTAGGGTTTATTTGAAGTATTATAAAAAGTACTCCATTTTTCATTGTTATTGTAATGAAGACCATGGAACCTAAAGACTGAAAGAAACTATTTCATTGTTATTGAAATGAAGACAATGGAACTTAAAGACTAAGTGAAAGAAACTATCAAAATGCTACTTCATGTTTAACTGAACTACTAACACTGATGACAGCTACTATTTTATGTGTTCTTTTATGATAAAGGAAACCATTACGTTCTTTTTTTTAATGTTTATTTTTAAGAGAGAGATAGAGCATGGGTGGGGGAGTGGCAGACAGAGAGGGAGACATAGAATTCAAGCTGTCAGCACAGAGCTTGATGCGGGGCTCGAACTCACGAATGGTGAGATCATGTCCTGACCCGAAGTCAGACGCTTAACCCATTGAGCCACCCAGGCGCCCTGAAACCATTACGTTCTAAAGATGATTTCTTCATTAATGCACATGTAAGACCTATTTCATCATTAGGGTCGATAGTAGCAAGATTCCTTTGAAAACATAATTATCCACATATATCCATTTGTTTAGGTTACAGTTTGTCTATAAATTTACATGTATTAACATATTATTGAGTTGCACAAAGACACCTCAAAGCCCTGTTTGTTAAAATTTGTACAAAAAATTAATTTGTGGCCTAAATTTGTCTTCTGTTCCTTTCATTTTAGGTTGAAGATTTGATTACACAGATCCGGGAGGTTTTTATTCAGACTTTAGATGACCTCACTTGGATGGATGCTGAAACAAAAAAGAAAGCTGAGGAAAAGGTAAAAAGAGACACAAAGCTAACTCTTAGTTAACAGTTGCTTTACAAGATCAACTATTAAGGAAGTTCAGAAGAAAGATGTTCAAGGATTGCATAAAATTAAAGCAAGCTCCTTCAAGGTGTCATGTTTCCAGGAACAGTTTTCATGGATAAAGATTTGTTTCTATGATTTTTCACCTTTTCTTCTCCCAGTGCAAGCAACTCCTGCTCTCCATGTTCAGTTCAAACCTTTGAAAGATGTCTCATTTTCCTTTTTTTAAAGGAATTTTCAGGAAACAAAAGGAAAAATCTTAGATGAACAAGTAAAGAACTGAAAGATACTATCAGTGGTTCATATTTCTCCTCTTTTCATAAAACATATGCAAGGGGACTCCACTAAAACCTAAAAATATCCCTTAATGTTTAATGCAGATTTCCAGCTCAATTTTTATTTTTATTTGTTGTTATTTTTTAAATAGTTTATTGTCAAGTTGGTTTCCATATAACACCCAGTGCTCATCCCCACAAGTGCCCTCCTCCATGCCCATTACCCCCCATCCCCTACCCCCAACAGTCCTCAGTTTGTTCTCAGCATTCAAGAGTCTCTCATGGTTTGCTTCCCTCCCCTCTCCCCAACTATTTTTCCCCTTCTTCCCCCCGACAGTCCTCCGTTAAGTTCCTCTTAATCCTCCTATACGTGCAAACATATGGTATTTGTCCTTCTCTGCCTGACTTATTTCACTCAGCATAACACCCTCAAGGTGCATCCATGTTGCTACACATGGCCAGATTTCAGTCTTTCTCATTGCCATGTAGTATTCCATGGTATAGGTAAACCACATCTTCTTGATCCATTCGTCCATTGATGAACACTTAGGCTCTTTCCATGTTTTAGCTATTGTGGAGAGTGCTGCTACGAACATTGGGGTCCATGTGCTCCTTATGCATCAGCACTCCTGTATCCCTTGGGTAAATTCCTGGCAGTGCTATTGCTGGGTCATAGGGGAGTTCTATTGTTAGTTTTTTGAGGAACCTCCACACTGTTTTCCAGAGGGGCTGCCCAGTTTACATTCCCACCAACAGTGTAGGAGGGTGCCCATTTCTCCACATCCTCGCCAGCATCTAGAGTCTCCTGATTTGCTCATTTTAGCCACTCTGATTGGCGTGAGGTGGTATCTCAGTGTGGTTTTGATTTGTATTTCCCTGATGAGGAGGGATGCTGTCCAGCTCAATTTTTAAAAACATGGCTTATTTAGACTTTTTTATGACCTAAGGGGAAAAGTACTAAATTTCTGTCAAATAAATGTAACGTGATACATTATTGGAGTATTACATGGTGATCTCCAGTTAAAGGGATGTTGAAGGAGCCTTTTTATAACTATTTCTATCTACCCTCATTGTGCACCTGTTGCTGGGACTTCTCATAGCTTGCATAGGAATAAAGGTGTCAGGGCGCCTGGGTGGCTCATTCAGTTAAGTGTCTGACTTTGGTTCAGGTCATGATCTCACGGTTCATGGGTTCAAGCCCCTCGTCGGGCTCTGTACTGACAGCCTAGAGCCTGGAGCCTGTTTCAGATTCTGTGTCTCCCTCTCTCTCTCGGCCCCTTCCCCATTCATGCTCTGTCTCTCTCAAAAAATGAATAAATGCTAAACAAAAATTTTTTTAAAAGAACAACGGTGTCAGACGCCTAAGGAAATCTTAGGCTTAACCTTACTATGATCATTTGTCTTGATAACTATATAAAGCTAGAAGGAATATGCCAGGTAGAAATTCTATATGCTTTGGGAGCAAAATTCATATGCAACGTGATAATTCCTCTGTAGTTGAGGTGACAAGAAGAACAGACCATTTTTCAAACTGACGCAGAAAGAGTTTATGAACCTACTATCATAAGAAATAAAGCTGCAGTCTAGTTCCTTCCAGGATTATATCATGTGGAAGGCTTATCTTACTCAGTTCTCCCAAAGCTGGGGATAAGGTAGGCCTAGAATTTAGGCACCAAGGTATATGTCTTTTATGGTGGACTAAGTCCTCAGAAATTCAGGCTGGATCTACTCCTTTCATGTTCTAGCTATCTGTGACCTGAGTCTATTTGATGTAGCACAACTGGACTGTGCTAGGTTATCATGTCCCAAGGCTGTATCACAAGCCACTGGACCCACAAAAGTAGTTCTATGAAGAAAACTCCCACGGTCAAAGAATTTAGGGAACCTTTCCCATGGGAAGGCTTCCCTGATCCCACCCTAGACTAGGTTACGTGCTAGGGGATGATTTTAAGGCACCAGGCCTGATACTCATTATATTGCCTGTCACTGATCTTTATGGTAAGCTCTCTGGGGGGAGAATTTTTTTTTCCTAGCATTGTATTCTCAGCCCCTTACAAAGTACCTGGCTCATCATAGATGCTTGAATATATTGAATGAGTAAATAGACAAATTAATTCCTTATGCTTACAATTGGGCACTTAACAATTACCTCATTTTAAGCTGCAGTAAAGAAGCCTGCTTAATGTTTTTCTCACAGTATTTACCCAAAGTATTTGACAATAAATCCTTTTTATGTAGAGTTTGTGTCCCTTAGGACACCTTTAGGGATGTGTCTTCTAGAAAATAAAAAACCTCTGAGAAGAGGCTGATGGTAATGGGGAGTGGTGTGGAAGCCTAAAAGAAAATGGGCTTGGCCTAACAGACTTATTGACGCATATCCTTTCTGATCCAATGCGGAAATCCTGTGCTTAAGAAACAGATTTGTAGCATGGTTAAATTATTTTTCTTACATTTTTATTTATTTATTTTGAAAGAGAGAGAGAGTGGGCATGCGAGGGACAGAAAAAGCAAGAGAGAAGATACCAAGCAGTCTCCACAGCATCAGCACAGAGCCCGAAGCGGCGCTCAGACTCAACGAATTGTGAGATCATGACCTGAGCCGAAACCAAGAGTTCAACCAACTGAACCCCCCAGGCGCCCCGCATAATTAAAATATTTAAGGGCAATGTAATATGATAGAATCAAAAGTCAAACATCTGTGAAAACATGAGAGAAATAAAAAATGGAAAGATATTGCAAGTAGTAATAATGAAAAATAAGTAAACAATTTTAAAATAATACAAAGAAACATTAGCAAGGGTAGGAAGCAAGTGGTAAACATGAGACAGTATAACAAGGAAGGCGCTGTTTTCTACTTATTTAAATATTGCCATTCATTTAACTGTGAGAAGATAGGTACATTGGCTTTGGAGACCGAAAGAGAACATACCAACTCCAGGACTCTGTATTCAGAAAGAATATTAGCACTAAACTTATAAGCCCTTATCTGTTTTCTCAGCCAAATCAGTGAAGTGGAAAGACAATTTTAAGCTGCTAGAAGGGAAGCACTATTACTTATCCCTCCTATAAAATGAAAGAAAAAGCCTTTCAGAGAAAAATTCTGTAGAAGAATAATACATGTGGAACAATGACCTGTCAGTTTTCATTTTGGTTTTCTTAGGAAAGCTGGAGCCTATGAGAATAGGGTATTAGAAGCTAAATTTCAGAACTGTTTTTTGTTTATTTTGAACCCCAGGGAGAAACCATTGCAAAGTTCTCTATTTAAGTACTGTCAAGGGGCGCCTGAGTGGCTCAGTCGGTTAAGCGACCGACTTTGGCTCAGGTCATGATCTCACAGTTCTTGGGTTCCAGCCCCGCGCCAGGGTCTGTGCTGACAGCTAGCTTAGAGCCTGGAGCCTGCTTCTCATTCTTTGTCTCCCTGTCTTTCTGACCCTCCCCTGCTCATGCTGTCCCTCCCCCCCCCTTTCTGTCTCTCTCAGAAATAAAACATTAAAAAAAATTTTTTAAAGTACTGTCAGATGCAATTTTTGTAAACAATAGGGACTAAGTTATTCAAACTCCAGTCATGGGCAAATTACACTGTTTGCATTTGAAAGCTATATAATTATCCTTATATTCGATATTTTAATTTCATAGGCCTTAGCAATTAAAGAACGAATTGGCTATCCTGATGACATTATTTCAAATGAGAACAAACTGAATAATGAATACCTTGAGGTAAGTCTCCATGAAGACTGTGCTAATGATACCTGGAGCTGGTGGTGATGTCATCTGCAGCTGTGGGGTGCCCGAAATTATGTGAAGTAGCCCAAGGCCAAAGGTCTTGTTATATAAAGCCTTTTCCACTGAAGCCAGAACTTGTGTTTTAGGTTTAGCCTTTTGTTTCATTAGCCTGGTTCATATTTGGCCTCTGTGATCTTGTCTCCTTATGTTCCACTGAGCAGTAGTGGGAAAATCTGGTGGCCTTTAAAGAGCATCAAGGGGTAGACATCAAAGGGATGAGCAACAGGCGGCACCCAGCCTCCTTATCTCCTGTGGGACAGGCCTGAAAAGTCACATCTTCAGTTCCCCTCCACTTTCCGATTTTTCCTCCCTGGAGAAAAACCAGGTTTTGCCTCTGTATTTGAAAAATAAAATAAAACAAAAACTTACCATTTGAAAACCAGAAACGGTTTTATTCCCCTCTGGTAATGTGACAATGAAAAGAGAACAGAATTGATTGAAGTCACTACACTATTGATTTCAGACCCAGCTGAGGATCCTGTTGCTCATCTCGTGGTCCCTGCAACTACTTGAGACCCTGGTGACAACAAGGTGATCCTTGCCCAGAACTGGAGATGTCAGTGATTCCTAATCCATCGATTACTGGCCTAACGTCGTGGTTTGCAAGCCACAGTGTCCTCTTCTCTCTTTACATTTGTAGAAAAGCTTGACTATTTCATGTAAATGAGCTGCCAGCAGCAGGAGTCCTGGGGCCCTTTGTGGCAGGAGTCTGATGGCTGAGAGCATAGACCCAGAGGAAGCTTCTTGGGTTCAAATCCCAGCTCCACCATTCACTAACTTGGGCAAGTGACTTAATTGTCTGCCTTGGTTCCCTCAGCTTCTTTTGATTAGCTACAGAAGAATAGACTAAAGTAGTGATTCAGTTAGAGCGACAGTGACCTGTTATATAGAACTAGGGTAAATGGAATTAAATCCTTCTTTGGTAAGTTTTAATGCTCCCTGTTAACTTTATTAACTGATAGCATTTAAGAAAATATCCCCTATGTTGTTTCAGCAAAAATTTTGACTATTTTTCCCAAAATCTTTTATGTAATATAGTTGAACTACAAGGAAGATGAATACTTTGAGAACATAATTCAAAACTTGAAGTTCGGTCAAAATAAACAACTAAAGAAGCTCCGAGAAAAGGTGGACAAGGATGAGTATGTATATTCCAGTTTCTTACATGTTCATTCAGAAAAGGGGCTTTTCCCCTCTCATTGTTGGGTTAAGAAAAAGAACTTGACTTAATGTTAATGTTTAAAAAGTCCAATATCCTCCTTCAATGGAGTGAGTACCTCTAAGAGCATCCAAGAATATCATACTAAAGATAGGTCAAAGATTTAACCAAAATTTAAATTTTTTATTAACGTAGCCTCGGGCTACCTCATTTCTTTGGTTTCCTCTCATATTATTGACTATTTCCTCTACTTTTTGGACAAGTTTCTCAAGAACCCAGGGCTTCTACAAGCCTCTGAGGCCACGCTTGCGCAACTCAGAGTTATCTTGTGCCCACAGCCCCACCTGTTTTCGATGGGTCAGTCATCCCATAGCTCCATCCCCTTCTAGACTGCTCCATGTGACACTCCTCTCAACCTTGTGGCAGCCAAATAGAGATAATGGGAGTCGCCTTGAAATGCTCTTAATCTCTGCTTATCAGTGGCATTGGTACTTCATGTTAACATCAGTTTAGTGTTTGTTTTTCAACTAAACGGGTGTGTCTAATGCAGTATGTCTAACACACTAACATGCATCAAGACGTGTGCTAGTGCACTTAGAGCCCTAGAACTGCTTATGTTCACTTCTTGCTGAGCTCTTCGCTTCCAGAGAACAGGGGCTATTCCTTTTGATTGTTGAGCACCATGCTGAACACGTGGAAAGTTTTCAGTTAAAACTGAGTTAAAGAATGAGTGAGCAAACAAACAAGAGATGTGCTAACTTGATCCATGTGGTAACCAACAAAATAACATGACAGTGAGGTGCTTGGTTTATTCATGCAGTCATTTACTCTTTTATTTATTCGTTTATTAAATTAATATTTTAGAACACTAAGTCCAGGTGTCATTGGGAACTGGGAAAATCGCAAGTGAACTTTGATTATATTATATTACATTACAACGGCAGATGGTAAAAAAAAAAACACAATACAATAAACTCTATCACTAAGGGGGAGATGTGCCAAGAAAGGTACAAAGTGATGTGGGACTGTTTGATGACAGGCGGTTCTGTTCTCCGTTAACTAAGTACAGGTTGGACAAAATTCTTAGGTGAAAATGCCAATACATTTCAATCCCTGAACAGCGTTTTGAACCCGTGAGGTGCCCTGAAAGAGAGATTGATTTCCTTTGCCGACCTCTGGGTTTATACCGCAGTAAATGTATTGGCTGGTGCTAACAACAGAGCTGCAAATGTCAAAGAATGTTTAGTCTCCTAGCTGGCAAAGAAGGAAGAAGAGTGGGTACATATGGCTTGTGCTGTAATTGGTTGTAAAACCCTATTTCAAGAAACCCACAAAAAAGTCATCTAAAAAGATTATTCAGTGGGTAAATTTATAATCTGAGAAGTTTCTTACAAGTCTGAATTTTGTTTCTTTAAAGAAACGTATACTTACATTTAATCATTGTTAGTACTGTGTGAAATATCTATGGAGAAATATTGTCAAATAGTGTTTCTGAATATAGCTAATATAACCTGCACCCATATGACACCAGAAGATTGTTTCATGATTTTAAAAATAGTTGTTGAATTATGGCTTGATGTTTTCTTTGGGACTTAATGGAGTCCAAAGTTCTATACTTAATTATTTTGTAATATAGGTTGCATTTTTCTTTCCCTTTCATTGTATGTGTTGCTTTTCTCTTGAGTCCTTTTCCCTGACAATAATCACAAGTGAAAGCTGTGTACACTGTTTTAATGAATGTTTGGTCAGTAGTGTGCATAGCTCAATAGAACGTTTTGGGTCCTTCCCATGAGCTTCTGATAGTCATCATAAGTGCAACTATGGCTTCTAAGGTCTCCTCTGCCATGTCGGGCTAGTTTCTTTTCCTTTCTCTTCTTCTGCCTGTGTACCAGGTACAAGGTTTCTAAACTCTGGCCGCACAGGAGAGAAACCTGGGGATCACTAGAAATAGTACTGAGGCCCCAATTTCACCACCCTTGCTTGTAATGTACTTGCCTGGGGTGGGGCCCCAGGTACTGGATTCTTTTTAAGTAGCACCCCCAAATTCAAGTGAGAACCTCTGAGTCAATGTTAGTTCCTTTTTGTTAATGATACTCTTAATATTTGGTTTTGTGCCATTTTTTTTACAGGGTGATGCTTTAATTTGGCAGTTTAGGTTTAAAATTTATTTTTTGTTTCCCAAAATATTGGAAACACTTTTGACAGTGATCACATCAAATCATTATGACTGTGGGATACAACATAATGACAGTTCCTCATATTTTTTTTGAGGTTTCTTGTAGTGACCATTTTAGACCTATTTTGTAATTGTTTAATAGTAATAAAGTCACTATGTTTTCCCTCCTTTCTTATGTATACCGAGTTCAAATCTTTTCTGTGCGTGTTCAGGCAGACACATCTACTGCTTCTGCTTTTTTCGTGTAGTTTATAGTTACCTCTCAGAGAACTACGTTTTCAGATGCTCAAGTCCTCACTCCTAAGGTCTTGCAGGAGAAATAGGTGCCCATGACCACAATTGATGGGATGGAGATAGGAAAAACTATGGATTATGTAGGGTTTATATTATAGGGTATTGTAGAGAAATGATGCATTAAATTCTCAAGGCTGCAATCAATTTGAATAATTCAGTCAATTAACCAAATAATAAGCTTCTAGACCTTTTTTTTTTTCTTGATGACAAACTCATATGCTTCTTGGCATCTTCTACCATCATCATGACCACTGAATAGTTGTACCTGGCCCAGATTTGTTTCCTGAGCTTCCAACCCACATGGCTACCTATGAAACATCTCTATGTAGGTATTCCACAGACCCTATAAACACAGCATTGGCCATTTGGGACAAAATTTGATCATCTTTCTCCCCATATCCTTATATTTCCCCATATTTTTCAGCAAATTTCATCTTATTGCTATCAAGACAGAAATCAGCGACTCGTCATTCTAGACTGATCTCTTTCTCTCATCTCTGACATCTATAGTAACATCTACTCCAGCTCCCCATTCAAAAACACAAGTTTACATCTACCAGCTGCTAATTAAAGATTATGTAGATATTGCCAGGGGATCTCCATCTTACCATCTCCATGCTCACTGACTAAATTCAGGCACGTCTCATTGTTCACCAAAGTTATTACTAATTTTTTCCTAATCTCATCAACAATCATCTTACTCTTCTTCAGCTCATTCTCCTTACTATCACCCTAGGGATTTTTTTTAAAGACACAGAATGAGTCATGTTATTTCCTGATGAAAACCTTTCAGCATATCCCTTTTGCCTGTCTCATGGTACAAGGGGCTCTTCATTCTTCCCACTAGCTCTCCAGAATTCCTTTAGATTCACCCTGCCCCATCCCCCGCCCACCCCAGCATTGCCCAAACCTCTAGCCGGAGGAATAACTCTAAGTCATTACTCCATCTTTTCTTCCTCATTTTCCCTTACCTTGGATCACCCTTTCTGCTCTTGTTCATCTAACAGAAACCTACACATTGTTGGACTCAACTAGAACATTCCTTCCTTATTCATAGCACCCCACTGCATTTTTCTCTTCACCTTGTGCCTGCACTAGCCCTTGTCAAAAGCAGAAACCACATATTTATGTCAGTAGAGCCTGAACACTGGTGAACAGAATGTAGACCCTTCCTCAGTGTTTCTGGAGTTACTACATGATACAATAACAGTTTGTGATCATAGCGATGAAGTTAACTCAACTGCTAAGGTAGAGCATGTCACATCCAAGTGTCTCTCCATCATGATCGGTGAAGTTATATAACAGCTCTCTGCTGCTCTTTCTATTTAGCAGGTTCAAAACATTGAGCAAAGCCAGAAGTCAGTATGCAATATACTTGACTTAATCATTTTGCTAAAAGAGCCTCTGCCCATTTGAGCAGTCGACACTGCAAAGGGCAGGGATTTAAATTTTTTTTTTTTTTTTTTTTTTTTATAAATAAATCTTTATTCATTCTTGTCCCTTTTAGTGAGCTGTAGGATTTTTCTACATTGATTCAAAGTGGGGTACTGAGGGACTCTGATCAAACCTCCATGGGGCTTATTTTAAATACTTCAGGGACATAATTCATAAAAATCTAAAACACAACGTGTGTTCAGTGTGGAAGTCACAGACCAGGGTAATTTTGAAGAAAGCTTCCCGTTTCATTTCCCAACCAAGGAGAATTTATACTGCTTTTTTTCACAGCTCCTTGAGCACTCTCATCTTCTTTAGGTCAAAGATGTATTTTTAAAAAGAGCCCAAAGGCTCATTTACAGGACATAATAGAAAGTAACAGCTGGGAAGACATTGTTCATGTCTACCGGGTAATTAAAATGGGTTCTCAAGATAAGCACACAAACTGAAATACATATTTATTTGAGAAGTCAAAGTGGCTCCCAAAGAGCTCTTAGGGGCTGTCAGGTAAATAGCAGCGTATGTAGAAATGAGGATGTAGTACAGTATGTGACAGATACTGACAATGCTGGTTTCATTTCCCGTGTTGATCGGCTCCCTTGTGGCACTCTTGGTGTTCGTTACACTTCGCTTCCTCTGACTGCACTTTAACAGGTTCTCTTATCTTTTCCCATTGTTGTGACATCAGGCACTTTGTGATGGTGCATTTTAACTAGAGTCTGGCTGCTCCAGTCTTATTGAAGAGATTCAGTTCACCATTAGGGCATATTTCCTCCATTTCCTGCTGGTCTCTTTCCACTTTTGCCTGCTTGACAGTTGCTCTTTGTATGTCTTGTGGTCATCTATTTTCCTGAACGAGCCAGCTCAGGTGGACTAAATTGCAGTGAAATGTCAGTGCTGATGGACTGGCTGGCTTCCAGGCTCTTCTTGTTGGTGATCTTGTTTGAATCATCACATCCTGATTATGGTTTATTGATGATGCCTGTGAAACTATTTAAGGGGCCAGATGTAACATCTCTGAGCAGTGGAAACCTCACAGCTGGTTTGTATGTTGAGCACCGCTTCTGCTTCCTACACTA